TATATATATATATATATATATATATATATATACACACACACACACTCTATTCCTGTCATCTGACATATTTTAAAGGAACAGTGTATAAGTTTTAGTGGCACCTAGTGATTTGTGGCAGGTTGCAACCAACTAAATACCCCTCTGCTCCCCCTCGCTTTCCAAGCGTGTCAGAGGACTATGGTGGCCTACAGGTAGAGAGAGGTATCTTTAGGATTTACAACTAGGAGCTACTCTTAGCAATGCTCTGTTCTTTTACCTGACTAAATAATTGTCTTTAAAAAGATATATAGAATTTTTAAAACAAATGAATTCAGAACTGAATTTATTTATAGTTTTGATATAACTAAATTCAAGCAACAGGTATGTTTACAACAGCAAATCCACTAAATCAAGTAATAATATCTCACTGGAAACAAATGTAAATACAATAAATGACATTTCTGAGTGAAGTTTCTAAATGATAATAATCAACAATGAAGAACACATGTATTTAGCACCGGGGCCTGTTTAATACCAGGTTTCAGAACGCATCACTACCTTCAGATAACTAACCACGAAAGGCTCTCGGTAGAGCCAGTGTCCATTCTGGGCTGCTGTAGAAAGATGGCAGACTCCGTGGAAGACGACCTGCTCCGTATGTAGATTGTGTAATGTAAGACCCTATTGAGGCCTCTTTCAAAAGTGTACCACGTGAACTTTTCTGCACCACGCCCTTTCTGTTGTAGATGAACTGGTACACCAAGCGGGCGGCGCTGACAGGCATCTATAACACCACGGAGCTGGTGATGCTGCAGGACTCCTCTCCAGACTTCCAGGACACCTGGAACTTCCTTGACAACCGCATTCAGGATGTCGTCAACATGGCTGCCACCGCCAAGCAGGTAGAGTGCTTGTATAGCATGAAGCAGGGGCCAGGGACCATTTGACAGGGGAGAAAATCTCCCAAGGACCCCTCATAATCGTGATGCCATCGGAAAAATTTATTATTTTAAAACTCTTCAACCTAAATACTTCAGACATTTTAATTTGAATCATGTTTGTTTTGCCCTGAAATTCCGGGTGCTTTGTACTCAGATGTTGCTTTAGCCCGGCTAGCTTCATGGCTTCGTTCGCTAGCACCTAAAGAGACGAAACACTTTGTTCTCCCAACTGTGTTCTCAATAGAACCAAACTCGGACTGTCATCATTTTCTCAGTTTACTTAAAGGTAGACTAATGCTAATATTTCTCCATGCTGGCCAGCTAATAATCCAAGCTAAGCAGCAGCAGGGACTGAGTCATGACAGACTGACGTGATGTGTCACAATCAACCATGTGATCATGATTACATAACCGGCCACAGATTGAGTGTCTTAGAAAATCATTTTTCTGAAAGATTAAACTGGAAGATGAAGATACTTTAATACATAGTACAAGTTCAGCACAATGAGTTAAGAATGAAGTGAGTAAAACATAGACTCATGTTGGCCTGAATTTGTTGAGATGACATTTGACTCCTCAACCATCAGTGTGTTTCACTTTATTCTGTAGGCACAGGCGACTGGTGAAACAGTGGTGCAGGGGCTTATGGGAGCTGCTGTTACAGTAAGTCTTTGCTTCGTGTTCATCATTTATATGCACTCGTCTTTTCAAAACCCCTGCACCTACATTAAAAAGTATATACGCAGTCCAGTCTACGATCTTAATTTGAAATTTTCCTTTCATGCATTAAGAGTTATACATTTGATTTGTTTTAACGAGGCAGCGCTGAAGGTTTGGATTGTTGGAACAGCATGTAAAGACATTTAAATGTATGGATATAAACGTGGTGGATGTTTTTTCTTGTGTTTTACAGCTGAAGAACCTCACGGGACTGAACCAGAGGCGATGATGGAAAACATCTCTCACTCAAAAGTGTCAAAAGCTGAAGATCAATTTTCTTTCTGCTCTCATTTCTGATTAACTGTAAGAGTCTAAAAATATCGGGTTATGGATTGTGTTAATATTTGTCACGAGCCATAGTGATAAGCCTCTTTCTGTTCACCTGTAAGACCAGTGGCTTGACTTGTTTCATAATGATCTGTAATTTTTTGGATGGATCGAAACTTCAATAAAGTTATAGTTATATATTGTGTATTTAACCTATGTGTTTGTTTTTTAATTGTCTGGTTGATATGAATTCAGTCATCCATTATATAGTTTGATTTCAATGCAGTTCAGAGTCACTATTATTTTTGACTCTGTGTCAAAAAAGATACTGTGACCAAAAACAAATATTGCACCAAACTGCTGCATTATTACTGGGATTTTTTTTTTTTTTTTTTTCCTACAAACAAAAAATAATAAAAAATGTACTATTAAATTGTACGCCTCGGTAAGGCATACTTCATTTTACAGAAAAATAATTGAGCGCTTTTATTTTGGAAAAAGACATTCCAGGCACGGTGTGACCCGGATATTAAATAAGGACCCGCCTAATATATCATCGTGACCAATCAGCTTTGGTATTTACATCTCTTGGCCAATCGGCGGGTAGTAAATAGTTCCGTGAAGGCCTTCAACTCGAAGCAGCGGTAGTTGAGTGTGTGGACGATATAATAACGTCAATTTTAAGGGCTATTTTACTTCAATAATGCCGTATGCTAACCAACCGACCGTGAAAATCACAGAATTGACGGACGAGAATGTCAAATTCGTCATTGAAAACACGGACTTGGCGTGAGTATTCACTTATTTGTCCACTCAAGAGCGTGTGTGCAACAGAGCAGCCATTATTCCTCTCATTCTCAGACATTAACGTTACATTAACAATACATGTTAAATAACCGCGCTAAGGTGATAACGTTACGCACTTAGCTTAAATTGTAATGCTGTCTGTAACTGAGATTTGTGTGACGACAACTAGCTAACGTAAGAGATGTACACAGGTGCTTAATAATGTTCCGTTTTAATATCAAGTACATTGTGCCAATTCAAGGGGGGAGTTGATATTCTCTTGCTATTCTGGGTTACACGGGTTTAGGAAAGATTAAAAGTAAATGTTCTTAGAGGGTCGTTTGGTTATTCAGCATCGTATGCTTCCCAGTCAACCTAAATGATGAATTCAGTGTAATTTCTGTTACTTACTATAACATTTAACCTATGAAAACATCCGTCTTTCTCCTTTCCAGGGTTGCAAACTCTATCCGCCGTGTCTTCATGTCAGAAGTTGCCACTATAGGTACAGTGACTTTTGTTAGCCTCCATTCTGAATTAGGACTGTCACTGTGTGAAAAGTTGTCTCAGGTACCCGGATATAAATAGTTATCTGTGACAAAATAAATGAAGTTGAAGAGAGTTGAGATGGTGTGACTGCATCAGCAACAGTGGAACATTGAGAAATGTCTGTCAGTAATATGCCACAGAAAACATTCTAAATGTCTAACTGGAACTCATGTTACTTTATTTGTAGCGATCGACTGGATCCAGATCGATGCCAATTCATCAGTACTGCACGATGAGTTCATTGCACACAGAGTCGGTATGTATCGCAGCGTTTTAGGATGCGCTTCCAATGCAACTTGATGGTAGTAATTGTACATGCATTTTTGCAGTATAACCAGAGAGGTCAACATTGATGTTTTCCCTTTGTTTGTCAGGTCTCATACCTCTCACAAGTGATGACATCGTGGACAAAATGCAGTATTCTAGGGTATGTGTACCGTCGTGTTAGTGATCAGTGACCCTTAAATGCTTATTAAGTGACCACTGCTGGTGTTACTCCAGACTAAAAATGATTGGGATTTTGCAAAGAGGTCTTCCAGACTGAGGACAGACGATCCTCAGGTAGGGGCGTGACGGATGACATAACTCATAGTTCAGATCAGATAAGCAGAAAAAAGGGAGCAAATATAGCTTTTTAGAGATACTTCGATCACTTCTTTTGGCTGCCGATATCGATTGCCGATCGTCCATGAGCTATATTGGTCAATACAGATTTTTAAAACAAATTGTATTATTGTTTTGATATGGTAGCAGATCTACATGGCTCCAGAATATCTTTCACCAACGTCCCAAAAAATATTTTCCACTGCCCCAAAGATATTATCCTTTTGCTTTGTTGTAGTCATCTATAGTGGTTATTTGCATAAAACACACAATTCAAATGATTAGAAAATAAAATATTGTATTTTTATTGATTAAAAAAATAACTAGTATTTTGAATATTGTGTTGAAGTTAAACTGCGCATAATTCCCTCTAGTATCTATTTTATGTCGTTGTGAAAACTCCTCCTTCAAACAACTGTATTTATTCAACTTTCTCGCCAAAACTAAATGTGATGAGATTTCACTTGAACACATCATGATAACGTGATAATTTTCCTTCGCACAATACTCATTTTTGTTGATAACGCGTCACAATGTAACTCAATGGGATCTCTGTACATTGGCTGTTAACTCATGTGCTGCTAACGTCAACACAGATTTTCACAATGTAGCATTATCAGTGATTGGCGACTACAAAGCATTAATGCTGATCTCCAGATTTTTTACTTGATATCAGCTGAAAACCTCTGCTGTCTACCGTGTATCTGTCTATAATTTATCTTGTGAATAATTCCTGTTTTGCCACCTCCTGTTTTATTATACATTTTTGTGGTATCATTTCTTTTTTTTTTTGTATACCAATGTAATCATTTCATGGCATCCTTTATACCCTGAATCTCGGTGCAGTTTTGTCTGAACGCTACAAAGTAACCTCGTACATTGATGGACATCAGCGTGACTGCTTTGCATGGGACTTTCTATATCTGAACAGATATTGAATATTTCTATATTTCTTTAAACGTATCGCAGGACTCGCGTTTGAAATGGAATATTGTGTATGATAATGGGATATTATACTACTGTCTTGGCAGCATTTGTTCCCGGCTGTAACTTAGTTTACTAGAGGACAGACAATATTTTCTCTGCTCCTCCTGCAGGACTGTACCTGTGATGATTTTTGTCCAGAGTGTTCTGTTGAGTTGACGCTGGACGTACGATGTACCGAGGACCAGACGCGTCATGTCACCTCACGTGACCTTTTGTCCAACAACCCCAGAGTCATCCCGGTGAGTCCTCGGCCCTTTTTATTGAAGTCATTAGAGGGGAGCGGAAGCAGAAGCTGACCGTGTTGTCATTTGGCTTTTCAGGTGACTTCCAGAAGTCGAGACAATGACCCCAATGACTACGTTGAACAAGATGGTAAGCGTCAAGCTGTCCTGAGAGTAAACACTGGCTGTTAAAGGAGACATATCGTGCTAATTTACAGGTTCATAATTGTATTTTGGGTTTCTTTTAGAACATATTTACATGTTTTAATGTTCAAAAATCACTTTATTTTTCTTATACTGTCTGTCTGAATATACCTGGGGGGCGTACTTCCATGTAGACAACCAACAACGTTTCATCAAACATGGCTGAAACAACCTCTATTGCTACTCTGTACATGTTGTGGAGATACGTGCTGTCTGGGTTCATAACATCAGTGGATTTCACGTTGGCTTGTTTACTACAGCGGTATGAACCCAAAAGAAACAGATTTTTCTGTGCAATAAACAAATAAAAAGGATGTCGAAATAACTACATAATGAAGCTAATTTGTGAAAATTCTAAATTCATGCTTTGTCAGGTCTGTCCGCAAGACCAAAAGCAAAAAAACCTTTGCAAATGCTTGTTTTCTGAAACGACAACATTTGAAACATTAACCTTTTCCTGACTCTCTCCACGTCCTCTTGTCATCCACTGAAACAACGTAGACATTATACTGGTGAAGCTTCGTAAGGGTCAGGAGCTGCGGCTCAGGGCATACGCCAAGAAGGGCTTCGGCAAGGAGCACGCCAAGTGGAACCCAACAGCGGGGGTCTCCTTCGAGTACGACCCAGATAACGCACTGAGGCACACGGTCTTCCCACGACCCGAGGAGTGGTACGTTTTCATTTCAGTACGGCTCTCTGTGACGGCATTAATGTTTAATATTGCACGGTGGCCGAATGATGAATTGACGTCTTGGTGTCACTCTGGTTCCCAGGCCAAAGAGTGAATATTCCGAGATTGAGGAGGATGAGGTTCAGGCTCCCTACGACCCCAATGGAAAGCCTGAAAGGTGATATTTTATATTATTATTATTATTATTATTTATATATTGTTTCTTTTTTTGTAAGACAAATATGTCTCTGCTTCAAACAGTCCAACAGCTCATCTGTGACATTTCCCCGCGTAGGTTCTTTTACAACGTGGAGTCGTGCGGCTCGCTGCGACCAGAGACCATCGTCATGTCGGCGCTGGCCGTCCTCAAGAAGAAGCTCAGTGACCTGCAGATTCAGCTGAGCCACGAGATCCAGAGCGACGTGCTCACCATCAACTAAGGGCCACGCCCTAACAGAACCGGACCTGCATTTGTTCTGATTCAGCACTGCTCGGGTCACACACGCATTGTTTCTGGAATTAGATGGAGCCTCCCCTGGATACAGGCCTTGGATCTGTATGCGTTTGTGAGCAAAAGATAATGTTTCATTATTTGAAATGGACAATCATTATTTCGATATACATCCATGTACAAAATATCAGATTTCAGCACCAGCATTAATTTCAACTCAAGCTGTGTGTGTGTTAAAGCATCCAATGCAAGGTCAGTGTGTCTCACAATGATACAGGATTGGTTTAGTTGTTGGTGTACTTACACTATTAGACTACTATTTTGTTAAATGTTACGTTTTAAATAAATCTGTCCTGAGGAACTTTGTAATATGTTATTTAGTGTTTCTTTATTGTAATTTGTCAGTGGGTTTTGTTTTTGGTACAAATGTTCAACCATCTGGAAAAACACAAAAGAAAATGAAGACAAGAGAAACCAAGTAATGTAATGTTTTAATTGATTTGCAAAAGAGAAAGCTACATGTATTTATTGGTCGGGAATCTTAATTTTATTTATATAGTACAGGGGTCGGCAACGTGCGGCTCGCGACCTGCATGCAGCTCTTCAGCCCCTCTGTTGCGGCTCCCCGAGTCTACATCAGGGGTCCCCAACTGGCGGACCGGATCCGGACCCAGGACCTAAATCCGATAGATAATTCAGAATTATACTTATTATGCACTGAGTTTATACTTTAACCGGCGCCTCTTATTCAGCCGTTACGGCACTTGTTCGGCGATGCAGGAAACACACCGACCGATGCATTGCAAATCACATCAGGTGATGCAGCTCAGCCAATCAAATATGGGTATTCTGACAAGTTTCCTGACTCGAGCAAGGTTTACACACACGTGACACACGGGGCTGAGACGAGGAAATGGAAAGAAGAGCAGGAGAATTGCGCTGATCGAAGAAGATATCTCACATGACGTTCTCCAAAAAGAGAAACATGTTCAGAGAGAATATAATTTATAAGCAAGAATGAACAGAATCTTATGTTAATTATTCCCACACGCAGTCAAATCCTCTACCCCTGTCAAGCGCTTTTCCCTGCGAACGCGAACGGCTAATCATGATTTTTCAGACCCACGCCCTCGGTGAACTATCAATGGATAAATCCAAATAAAGAAAAGTCACGGAGGAAAATAGAGAGTTTAACTCTGCGTGGACATATTCATTTGCTTTCACTGCCAACGATGCTGGCTTACCTGTATGCTTCCTGAACAAGCACACAGCATGTGCTGAAAAGTGTCACGCTGGAGATGAGCGAAAAAGAGCGATTCCTCAACTGCTGCAGCAAACTGAGCTCTTCATAAGAGTTTGATATTGTTATAACAGGTAAAATGTCAAGAATTGTCTTTATTCTTGTTCTATATTTTCATAAATACAACAAACTATAGTTTCTGTATATATAAAACTTTATAGGCTGTGATATCAAATAGCTTTTGCGGCTCCAGACGAATTTCATTTGGTGGAAAATAGAGCAAAATGGCTCTTTGGATAGTAAAGGTTGCCGACCCCTGGTTTAGGTGAGCGTCATCCAAATCATGTTTGGAATTGTTCAGCAGGTACAGCAGCTGGTATTGTACAGTATTTTACTGTGTACTTATCTGGGAACTTACATAGTACAGTCTATCATAGTTTAGTATCAATATTATCAATGTACTAATACACAATGTAGTGTATCATAATATACTGTAGTATGTCATGGAGGTGTGATTTGTTATTGTGTAGTATACTGTACAAGATGTGTCTGAGTTGTAAGTGCATATATCATGTTCTGATGGGCCCATTGTGACGACCCTCTGCATTAGCACCGTTAGCTGCTACCGGTACAGTAGCAGCTCTGTACCGGCTATGAGAAAATATGGGCACATCGTGCAACAGAGGCTAGTGGAAGAGAAGCTAACATTAAGGAGGAAGTAGTCACTGTATTTATGCCAAAGTACAAGCCTTACAGAGCCGCTAGCATGGCTGTGGAGTCTATGTCGATGCACTTTGGATGCTATTACTGTATTGTGACAGTCTTTTTCTTTTCCCTCTCAGTGGATTGAGCCAATCTTCCAGAGATCAGAAAACTCCTTCTCTGTGAGTGAAACGTAATCCCTCTTACTTGTGAATATTCAAACAAACACACAGCTGTAGAATTTGTTACTTCAAATTCATTTCCACAGAGTATGGGCATCACTATGAGAGTGGAGCTCCTGGTGGGACTGGTGGTGAGTGTTTTTTAAATTTCTTTTCACATTGCATTCTCAAGACTTTTGATATGTCTGTTTTGATTTACCAGAACTATAAAGCACTATAAAGTGCTGCCAGGATGATGTGTTTTTGTAGGCCAACAAGGAAGTTAGCATCGCACTGGTTCCCTCTACAAAAAGCCGATGGGCTTTTTTCATTGGATTTTGGATTACTTCAGAAAATAAACAAACGTTTATGCTATTTACACATTTTGTTCACAAAGATTATCTTCAAAAATGAACACCACTCGTTATGATTTTTAAAGTGTTTGGGCATGATAATTAGAGATCAAAGTTTCTACACTGTTGTACATGACAATAACAGGGACACACATAGATGTTAAATGCTATAATGGTATTTCTAACACATTTTCTTGTCAGGCGCCAACCCATTTCCTCTGGCTCCTCCTCTTCTTCTTCAGTCACTCCTACCTAAACTTCTGCGCAGAACTGATGCGCTTTGGTGATCGCCATTTTTATGGAGACTGGTGGTCAGTTGCACAAAAAATTCTGCACATTGTGGTGTTGCACATTCAGCACTGCCTCATTGCGTTTTATCATTCATTTACAGGAATGCTACGACTCTGGTCACTTTGTGGAAGAACTGGATTATTCCCTTTCAGAAATGGTGTCACAGGTATTATTATAGTCTGATGCCAATTACATGAATACGAAATCGTTTGCCTTAACTTTTTCTCTCCTCTCTTTGTCTTTGCTGCGTGTCGTATATGAAGGCATGTATACACTTGGCTGGTGGAAAAGAATGTGCCCCCATCACGAGCAGAGTTACTGGTCTTCCTGATGTCAGCTGCTCTGTTTGAGGTACAGTCTGATATCACATGAAGCTCCTTTTACTGTACACGTAAATCACTATTTTGTTTCATGTGTTTGGTAGCAGAGGACATAAGACATTGAAAATCTGGAATGAATTGGGATTTCAAGCTGAATAAAGTGTTGCGGAAGTGTAGTACCCACCCTCTGGTTCCTCCCCAAGTAAACAACGTTAGCTCTGTAAGCCCTGTTGCTGTTGTTTGCACTGTTAGAGCTGTTGTCACCGCTAGATTCCAGCTTGTTACATACATTGCATCTTTGTGAGAGCATTCATTTATTTCTATTCAATTTGTAGTTTGCTCATAAACAAACATCATTAAAAACAGATGGCAGCAGTGATAGAGGGTCAGAGGCTACAAGTTATTTTTACAGTCCCTGAATCTTACTGTGTGGAGATTATAGGGCTATTGGCCCAAACAAACAATGCAATAATAACCTGTTGTATTGTGTTGTTCTCTCTTCTACACAGTATATGATTGCTCTGCCCCTGCACAGCTGTCGTCTGTGGATCTTCCTCGTAATGCTGTTTGAGGTGAGGATATCACACCAGTGGCAGCTGGTGTGATAATTTACCTGGATGGGGCAATGTTGTCATCTAGCTTTGACCGCAACTTGACTGTTTCATTTACTCAACCGTTGATTCATAAAAGCAAACACACACCATCCAACAGCTCAGCATAGATACTTCTTCCAACTGTCTCTTTTCCAACTAAACTGAGTGATCCACAAGAAAAGACCTGGGACTTTTAAAAAGAAATAATGAAAACCTAAAAATTGATATTTTTATGATAACAATGTATCAAATGACAATGTGAAAACACTGTGTTAATGCTCCTCTCGGCTTTATGGAGCTTTATAGTGACTTTCAGCTCATTGTTTAGCTGTCCGGCTGCAAATGCACTGTTTTGCTTCATTCTTGTTGGTCTCATAGTATCAGCAGATAGCTGTTTTCAGAGAAAAGGCTCCACTAAACCCACTGTACCTGCTCAGCAGCACGCAGCAGACAGATACAGTTGGAGACTAGCTGGTGAACTATTGGAGCATTTAGCAGCTAAAGAGAAAGATATATCCCTAAGTTGCAGACCAAAGAAGACCTAATAGGAGAGTGAATATTCATGGACATATTACTCGACAGGTCTACTGGGCAATGCGATTGAGTGGCAAAAGGCCAACTAGGAAGAGACTCAAAATGACCACAAAGAAACATAAAACGACTCCAAAAAGACACAAAGCAGCCATAACAAGCCCTGCACATGTTCCCTCTATTGGCTCACCACTGTATCGCACAGTATTTCATATGAAAGTTTACAAATATTTACCTTGTTGGGAAGAAGTATCTTCAGATCTGAGGAGATTAAATACTAAAAGCAGGGTTTCCCCATATCTTTTATGGCAAGAGCCAAAGAACCTAACGTGTCATGCTAGTCAGTTGACCTTCTTTATGAGAAGTGGTGAATCATTTGCAAAGTGCACAACATGATCACAGAAATCACACTCCATCAGACCCAAGGTCTGCACTGATCTGTTACTTGTACAGTCGCAATAATGAAAGTAAAGCCGTTAATGCACTTGGACTGCCTGGAAGATTTACAGTATGTGTCCACAAGTAATCATAGTGGGAGGAGCATGCCATGTCTTTTTAACTGGGTAGAACCTCAATCCTCAATTTTTCTTTAGAAGAATCCTTTTTTTGAAAAAAGTTTTTTTCACAGGGTTATTTGTAAGACTAAGAGTTCCATCAAGAATCATTTTCAACCAAAGAACCCCTCTAGGCAGAAAGAGTTCTTAGAGGATTGTTGAAAGCATGGGGGTCAAAAGGTCCTCCCGGCCCACACCCCCCAAAAACTGTTATGTGAACCATGATTGTTGTTGGTTGCACTGCACCATATCAGCCCTGACCCTATAGAAACCTCATGATGCCTAAGGCTGCTAGAAGATGCTCCCATGGACCCAGGCTAACCTGTGGTTAGAGTGGAGAAAGATCTATGGGATATAAAAAGGAATATACAAGGGGTCGTGGTAGAAACCAATTGGTACGTTGTAGATGAACCCTATGGAATATAAAACGATTCTCTGTAGAAACCCCTGGGTGAGTTCCAGATGCTTCCGTCACCATAGTCATCAGTCATCGTCCTCACCACTGACATCGGACCACAGGCTTCCCAGCGCAGTTTTCATTCAGCCTCAGTGATGAAGTGTCTGAAAGAAATTCTGACCTATTGCACTGTATTTACAAGTAGACCATGAGGATACCGCTGTGATCCAAAGTTCAGTGAACACTCCCTATGTCTGTCCAAGGATATATTTGAATGTCCGAAAAGCCTTTTGGAGTTATAATCCACAACCTCTACCCAGCTCAGCAATATACTGTAGATATGATCTAGACTCATAAATGGACATAACTGGAAAAGAGCACTGATTTGTAACTTGTGCTGTTACTGTATACTTCCACATCTGACAAATGTTAATGCAATAAACAGATTCAGTATTTCTTTGCCTAAATTTTGTACGTCAGGGGCTTGTTGAATGTAACTGAAAAATTAACTGCAGCAATAAAGGTCTGTGTGATCATTCCTGTTCAAATGATGTGAGTCAGCAGCACAGAAGATAAGGTTGCTGCTTACACTGATGTGTCAACAAGTGGTTAAGGGGCCCTAGTCCATCTGAAGTTACGGTAAGTTTCATGGACACAATCCAACCAGGAAATACATGGAATAATTGTACCTCAATGAGTCCAAGGGTGGATTGATTTAAAGCACAGCTACCAGCCAAGTAAAGTTTGTATAATCCTTAATGAGAATTTGTCATAGTTCCTCTTGCATATAGTATACACTGAGATCAGGGCTAGACCAAGAACTGAACCAAAAGTTGTCTAACCTCATGGTCAGAATGAAAAGCTTCACTTCTGTCCTGGATCCCATCCCACCCAATCTTGGATTGTCTCCCAGCTATCTCCTCACTCATCACATAAATCATGAACTCCTCCTTCAACTCTGGTTCAGTCCCCCAAACACTCAAACTGGCTGCTGTCACCCCACCCTCAAAATACCTGGACCCAACCCTGATACCATTAGCTACCAGCCCATCTCAAATCTCCCGTTTCTGTCAAAGAAAAGGAACCCAAATCCCACCTCATCTCCGACAGCCTAATTGAACTATTTCAGTGGTTTCTGTTTGCAGCAAAGCACAGAAATAGCCCTCCTCAAAGTCACCAACCTCCTCTCCTCAGATTCTGGTCACCTCAGCGCTTCGACACCATCAACCACTTTCGACACCATTAACCACACCATTCTTCTCCCCCGCCCTGAATCCTCCCCCAACATCACCGATACTGCCCTCTCCTTGCTAAGGTCATCTCCCACAACAACAGTTCATCAACAAGGTGTCCCCCAGGGTTTGGTGCTTGGTCCTCTTCCTTTAATCCTCTACTTGCTCCTCCTTGCTAACATCATACGCCGTGATGGCCCCCACATCCACTGCTTTGCAGATGACACCCCGCTCTACATTTGCACGACATCCATAGCTACTGCAACTCACGCTACTGACCAATGCCTCACTGAAATTGAATCATGGATGTGAGCTAACTTCCTCAAACTCAACTGTGATAAATCAGACACGATCATTATCGGTCCCAAATCCCTCCCCAAAACCACTCACAACTCCTGCCTCAAAACTGATAACTCCACTGCTTCTCCCTCCCAACACATCCACAATCTCTGAGTTATTTTTGACAGCAACCACTCTTTTGAATACCACGTCAATCAAAACAATCGCACTACCGATTTCCACCTTAGAAACACAGCTATTCTCCACCCATCACTCTCCTTCTCTGCTCATAGATCTCTGGTCCATGCCTTCATCACAGCCAGAATTGACTACTACCACATCATTCTTCATGGCACATCATCCAAAGTATTAAACAAACTCAGTACATCCAGAACTCTTCTTGTCTGCTCACCCATTCCTGTTCCAGCGATGACATCAACCCTGTCCTCCAGAACCTCAACTGGCTCTCTGTCCCAAAAACGGATCCAATTCAAAGTCCTTCTCCTCACTTATAAATCCCTCGATACCATGCCGCCTCCTACCTCCCCAACCTGCTTCACCACCACACTCCTTCCCACAGCCTCCACTCCTCTGATGCCAACCTCCTGTCTCCACCACTCAGGACCAAGCACCGGACCTGGGGTTGCAGACCCGATCTCCATAGCTGGCCCCATCCCTCTGGAACTCTCTAGCTGCTAGAGTCTAGCCAAACACATCAGAGACTGCACCATATGCTCCAATCACAACCTTTTCAGAGCTGCTTCTAATGTGTGAATAATGTTGTGTGAACGTCGT